GAAAACATTGGTGAATGCCACAAATTCTCCTAAATTACTCGTACGCACAATTTAAGAACAAATCTGTGCGTACGAACGGTTCTTGCATGAGGCCCATTGTTTCATTTGAAATCTGCTTCAGGATACCAGCTCTGCTTTTGTTTTCTAATGTCACTTTTGGTTTTTAGCTAGCTTTACTGAAAATATAATTTGTCTCATTCTATACCTGTCCTTGTCTCCATCCACCTTCAGCAGGATGTGTCTCAAAGATTTATGAGCAAACTGCGTACGGACAGGACAAAGATTACCAACACAAAGTTATATTATAAATATTAAGTACTAGTCTTGTCTTCTTACCTTTATGCTTTCCTCATTTTTGTTTAGATCTGTTTTTTCTGCATATTTTCGGAGTCTGAACATCAAACTCTGGATCAGGTGTTCTGAAGTCGCTGCTGTCAGATCTGAAAATTCAGCGAGATCAACCGACGGGATCAGAGTCAACCAGCCCTGCAGGAGCAGAGGCATCTCTGCAGCTGCTGAYAAATGCTCCTGGATCAATGAGAGAATCCTCCTGCAAGTATATTTATTATAAATTCTTCAGGGAAAGTAAAAAACATCTGTGTGGATTTGTAACAAACTCACCTTCTTTTGTCCGTTTGGAAGTGCAGGTTTTCTCTGAATCTGATGAAGTTGACTTGGTCAAGCCCGGACCAGTTTTCCTCTTCGACAGTCGGACCCAGTTTGGTGGCATCGGCTCCAGGGTGCCTAAGCCTGAAGAGCAGAGGGACGAGCAGAACGAGCTCCACCACAGAAGACTGGACACAGAGGTTCATCAGACCCAACACGGTGCTGAGAGGAAGAAATAGTTTTGATACACAATGAAGATCAAAATACTAAATAATCCAGGACATTAAAAAAAGCTACAGTTTTTACAAATCCTACTTTTTTTTTTACAGGAATTAAATCAGCATGAGACCAAAAGCACAAAAAGAAACTTTACTATTGTGAGATGTCAATGGAAGCGGACAACTCCTCCAGGTTTTTGTTGTCCATCGCGGTGTTTGAGGAAATCAGGACACACAGCTCGGCCCAGCCTTTAACTCCGAGGTCGACTTTACAGAACCTGGTGACCCGAAAGACAGACAGACACAGAACAAGAGGACTGGTGTTCCTGCAAACGCCTGGGACTTTCTCCTTTGGTTCTCCTTTCAAGATTTGAACCAAAGTCTCTGAAATCAGCTCCGATGCCTGCAGATGCAAACACTTATTACTGGTTGAACTTTGGGAGGTTTAAAGGGATCCACAATTAGTTGTAACATAAGACTTTATTTGATTTATTTTAACTGTAAAATAAAGACTGTAAAAAATACCGTAGGCTGTTTAGTTTTTGTAATTTTTAAACTAAAAGTTTAAAAATATATTACAAAGACTGAGCCATTTTATTTACACACAAAGCATTCTGGGTAAAAGATGACTGAAAATATGGATGAGGACCTCAGTTTAGCTTGTTAGTTTGTCGCACTAGCGCCGAGCTAATACATATAAGGCAATAGTGTCGGAGCTAACGCTAAAGCTAACAGGCTAAGCTGAGGTTSTTCTTCCATGWAGCAGCTCTGTTGTCCTCCATCCATATTTTCAGTTMCAGGCTGAGTCATTTCTACCTTCTCCTCTCTGTCAACGCTCTCTGGTTTCATTTAAAAGAGTCGATCATCAGATATTGTCCAAGATTAACCTTCAGGGAGGATACAGCTCGCTAGCAGCCTCGCACTGATGACCTATCTGCGTCATCATTTACCCAGAATGCTTTGAGTGTAAATAAAATGGCTCCATCCGTGTTACAATATATTTTTAAAAATTTACAAAATTGAACATCCTACAGTATTTTTACAGTCTTTATTTTACAGTTAAAATGTATGTTTATCAAATAAAGTCTAATGTTACAACTAATCATGGATCCCTTTAAAAAACATTTCTCACAGAACCAACCTTGACCACGGGAGGCTGGGAGTTGTCTGAGTAAGCCATCCTATAAGGTGCTGAACTGAGGCTCTGTGTAAAACTCATCAAGTTGTGACAAATGCTCTCAGTGCTCTGTTTGTCTGATGGAGTCCACTTCTGGAAGATTCTGTTCAGCAGAACCGCCGCTGCAGTCTGCCAGGCGTCTGAAATCTCCACGCCTTTTGATCTGCCCAGACCAACCATGTGAAGGCTGGATTTAAAAATACTCTTGTCTTGACGACAGATGAATCCTTCGTAAAGGTGAAGCTCTGGATAAAACACGAGCAGGTTTATAAGTAAGAATAAAACAAAGCAGGACAAACGTTGGTCACATCAAGTCTCAAATTTACCTTTAATGTTTGGATTCCATGGGATTTCAAGATATCTTGTCGCCGTTTCCGAAATTTCTTTGWTTCTTTGCTTTACAGCATAAGAGTAAATCAGCTTATCACCTCGATTCAAGACGTGTTCCTCAATGGAAAAACTTGCTTCAATCAGGTATCCCACCTGATTTAGTCCACTGAACAGAAGTGAATAAATGATAGTGAATCTGAGACTTCTCTGTGTTTTGTGCAGAATAACAAAACCTCAAAGTCAACAACGGCCTTGAACATCTCACAGTGGTCCTGCTTATCTTTCAATACTTTATACTGTTACAATAAAACATTTTGACCTGTTGGCTTGTCTAAAAAGTCCTGATCTAAATTCTGCTGAACATGTTTGGAAGAAGCTACAGCAAGAAGTCTGGAGAAGGAACCCTTCAAATCTGAGACATCTGGAGCCTCTGCAACCTACGGAAGGAAACTGAGAACTAGGACCAGGTATCACCTGGGACATGACGATTCAATACGATTTTTTTATATAGTGCAGCTCGATTCAAATCAATTTTGATACATATAAATTTCTACTTATTAATACTTTTGCTACATCTTAGAATGTTGGTTTATCAACTTTTAGTG